GCCTCATGCAGACTTACCTGCGTAAATGGAAATCCTGATACTTGGCACCAAAGAACTTAGTTTGAGTGGAGCACATCCTCCCACCCTCTCTTGCAGTAAAACACTTGTTGCTTCAGAAGTAATCAGAGAAGTGGTCCAAGCCACATCCAAAGTAAATCAGTATTGTGAGATTGTGTACAACTTGAAGGGACAACACTTACCTACCCACAGGTGTGTTTTATTTCAATATTAAAACCGCTCAGCTCTGATATGGGGCATGCTGATTTCACTCTTGTAGTTATTACTTTTAATTCTGCTGTTCTTATGCCTTAAAATCAGTGAAAGAAAACTTGAACACAGCTTCATTTCTTTGGAATTTAGAAACCTGCCATTGCTGTTATCTTACGTCTGATCCAAAGCCTACAGAAGTTGATGGGGATCTTTTCATTGACCTTAGTTGGCTTTGAATTTGGCTGTCCATGTTCATGACTCTGAAGCATGGTGATACTGAGAGAAACAACACAATGTACCCAAGTGTTTTGCTTTCGCAGGTTAGGAATTTGCTATAAAAAGAACCAGTTTGACTATTTCTGAGTGTTCCCCTCCACCCCAAATACATAGGCATCATACAACCCCTCTCTCTCAGTAAGACAGCAACACAGGAGACGCATTTAACTTTGATCACACTACTGGGCTCTCACTAGTTTGAAATGGGAAAGGCCTATGCAGTGACATCTGTCTTGCAGAAATGGCAAGATACAGGCCATTTGGAGGATTGGGGACTAAATCTCTGATGTATTTTAAAGCATAGGAGGGCAATTAAAGTGACTTGCTGTGGTAGGTGTATTTAACTTGAAATTCTCTTTGATTTGATTTGGAAAAGAATCTTATTCAAATTTTTCTAAATGTTTTTGCCCAGAACTTTGGGATAGTGTTGATTGTTTATACATTTTACACATAAGTATAAGGACATATACAACAACATGTATATTAATCCTATTTAAGCAACTACAAATCAGTGTCTGCTGTTTAAAGCCAACAAAACAGTATGTTTTAAATTCAGTATGTTACGTATTGTATAGAGATATTAAGAGGCAGTTCAGTTGTTGGCAAATGAGCATAAAATGTTACTGATGCTGTAAATTATTTTTAATAAAGAAAACTGTATCATATTTCATGTATGCATCATTTTTCCCCTGAAGAAATTGCAATAATGCATTTAAAATGCCTTTTTCTCTTGAGAGGTTGATCCCAAACCCATCTGCTTTAGCTTTCTCTGACTCAACATGCCACATTCTGTAGATCAGAGATTGTCAACCAGGGGTATGTGGGCTGGTTTTAGGGGGAACATGCAGGGATGGAGCACCGCTGCCTCCCAGGGGCAGGGCGAGGTGAGGGCAGCGGCACCCCTCTGCACGGTGGGAAAGTTTGCATGCAGGATCTGCTGCTGCCACACTCCAGCCTGGTGACTCCCCCTCCCCTGCACCGCTCGGCGTCTGGCTGCCTCTATTGATACGCCTCTCTTCAAAAGAAAAATAGAGGACATAAAGACGTCCAGTTTTGTATCAACAGAGGACAACTAGACTGTCCTCTATGATGGCCACCCTCATGGGTGACTGGCCAGTCTCACTGATCGGGGGTCTCCCACGGTTGATCATGCCAGCCAGGAAACGATCACGGCCCTCTCACTCCCCGGCCAGAGTTCACGGGGGGGGGGCATTGGTGCTCCTGCCTGCCCCCGTTGCCCGTTGCCTAACCAAGGAACATGGCCTGTTGGGGGTGCACCAGTGCTCTCGAGATGCACATGCAACCCCTATGCATCCACTGCCCACCCTACATAGAGCACTTCAGCCTTTTCCTAATCGTCTGTCACTAGGTTGCCTCCCCCATTCAGTAAGGGACCCACACTTTCCCTGACCTTGTTGCAAACATACTTGTAGAAATGCTTCTTTTGTTACCCTTCACATCCCTTGCTAGCTGCAGATCCAATTGCGTTTTGGCTTTCCTGGCTTCATCTCTAAATACCTGAGCAATATTCTTATACTCCTCCCTAGTTTGTTCAAGCTTCCACTTCTTGTAAGCTTCCTTCTTGTGTTTAAGCTCACCAAAGAGTCCTCTGCTAAGCCAGACTGGTTGCTTGCCACATTTGCTATTCTTCTTGCACATTGGGATGGTTTGTTCCTGCACCCTCAGTAAGGTTTCTTTAAAATGTAAAATATTATATAGAAGGGGAGAACATGTATGTGGTTGATTTCCTGTGATCCTGATTCCACTTTTTGTGGGAGCCCCAGGTAAAACATCACATGAAAAATGTCTCCTTCCAGCATATCAGCTGTGTGTATCTTCTTACCCTAGCCATGCGGTACTCAACCTTCTGGTCCCATAAACCAGGTGAGTGGTACAGGGTCAGTCTGCAGTCTGCACACAGGGTTGATCTGTTGTGATCCAGCGCTATGTGCCAGATCCAGCTGCAGAGCAACACCACATCAAGTGGCGATGCGTAGGTGGTGCATGGAGGTGCATATGCACCCCCTGAGAGCGCTGGTGTGACCCCTGACAGGCCATGTTCCCTGCTTAGGCGACGGGCGGGGGCAGGCAGGAGCTCCAGTGCCCCCCCTGTGAGCACTGGCCAGGAAGTGGGAGCACCTGGGTGAAGCGCTGTGGCCACTTCCACTTCCTGGCCAGTGAGATTGGCTGTGGGGGGACCCC